AGTGTCAATATTAAATCAACCATGTTTAAAAAAATAATTAATTGAAAAATAATTTTTGCCCAGTTTTACATGTGATTGAGAGTTTATTCAAACGTTTATTCAGTGACGTTAGCCATGATTATTAGTATTAAAACCTGTGCTTGTAATACATTCGAAAAACTTTTTTATGACAGGTTTTATGGCAGTGAATGGCCGTTTGCTCTCACCTGATTTGTCAAAAAACCTATACACTTTACAAATTCAAAGAAGCTTTACAACTGGTTTTACAATGTGGTTACTAATTAAGTCTTCATAAGGACCCCAAGTGATGCCACTGACTCAAATTAGCTTTTACACATTACATTAACACTTCTCCACGCAGTCACTATAATCTTTAATATAGATTCATTCATTCATTTTCCTTTGGCTTAGTCCCTTTATTCATCAGGGGTCACCACATATGTTTTACACAGCAGATGTCCTTCCAGCTGCAACCCAGTTCTGGAAAACACCCATACTCACTCATTAACTACAGCCAATTTAGTTTATTCAGTTCAACTATAGCGCACTTCTTTAGGCTGTGGGGGAAACCAGAGCACCCATAACCCAAGCCAACACGGGGAGAACATGCAATCTCCACACAGAAATGCCAACTGACCCAGCCAAGACTCAAACCAGCAACCTTCTTGCTGTGAGGTGACAGTGCTAACTACTGAGCCACTATGTCACCCTAATGTAGGTTTAAATGTATTAAATTAATATTTCAATGAAGCACTTGAGCCAGGTTTCTCAACAACAGTGTATTTTGGCTCTTAAGTGCGTGTTGTCGCCTCACTATGTTGTTGCACACAGTAGTGACAAAATAGCATACTGTACCATACCAATTTTTGGTGACCCTGGCAAAACAGTACAGTACCAAAAGAGTGGAGCTAGACTGCTAAATGTTTTTATTTTATTTTTATTTATTTATTTATTTTGGAGAGAATTGTCTTGGCACTTCTGACACTGGAAATAAATAGACATTGTACTGTACAGAACCACATGCATATAAACAATGAGACAAGGCTGGTATATATGTAATGTGTATGTATGTCTATGCTTATACACTATTTAGGCACGTATACTCCAATGCATGCATGAATTTATTATTTATTAAGCAAACATACATATTGTATGTAACATTAAATGTAGGACAATATGGTTTTGTGCATTATATCCCTGATGATTTTGTTTTTAAAAAGACTGTTCACCCAGAAATCTAAATGGCCATCACAAATTTGAGTTTATTTTTTCTGCAAGAGCATACAATGATACTTTGAAGCATGATCTATACTGTGAAAAAAAGTTTCCAAGTTACACATTTATAAATTCAGTAACTGTACAAAAATGTTGTTCTTTAAATGGCACCTATGATGAAAATGAACTTTTGTAAGCTGTTTGGACATTACTGTGTGTAGATAGAGTGTCCATGGTCATATTGGAGTGATAAAAACACAATAAATAAAAAAAAAAAAAATTATTTCCTGACGTTAAAATAGGTTCCAAACTCCTCCCATTAGGGGTAAAGTTTCCCCACCCACCGATTTGATTGACATACGCATAATAACATATCTCCATAGTAATGTGTATAATCATATTCACAAGACAGGACGTGCGCAAAGTAACTAGGATTAAAAGATCTGTGATCATTAATCATCATCAAATGTGATCAAGAATGAGTTTTACAAGTTTAAAATGTTTTTTAAAAAGTGCATGTTTTTAAGGACAGTAAAATCGCTACGTAATTCATGCTTCAATCCCGGTTTGTGGACTTAAATCAGGTTTATTTTGTACATTACAGATTAGTTTTACATACAGCAGTGGATATTAACGTGTATCCTGTCACATTTGCCGTGCAAAACAGTGCATAGCTAAACCAGCTTATTTGCATTAAAGGCACAGGCAACAAAAACAGCTACAAATCCAAAACAGCTCAAATTTTTCAGATTTAAGATAATTAATCTGATAGGGTATTTTGAGTTAAAGAAACTTTACAGACACATTCTGAAGACAGAATATTTATATAAAATCTTGAAAAAGGGTTAAAATAGGTGTCCTTAAACAAGTAACTATAAGTATATTTAATAAATATTTTATTTCAATAAATAAAATTGTATACTTTTAGGAGGTATTTGTTTTTACAACAGAACAAATAAAACATTCAAACAGTGTTGTGTACTATAGGCTAAATATTTTCATCTGTGCATGTTTGTAATGGTATTTATATTAGTTGAGGGGCTTTTCAATGCACGTATTGAACAGCTATGGCCAATATCATAATTATGAAGAAAAATCATTGACCTCATGTCCTAATTCTACTGTAGTTCACATCTTTTGTCAGCAGTCGTAAGTCTGCTTGTTTGGTGCATAACCAGGTACTGATTCAGATGAACCAAACTTTCAGAGTATTGCTCCAGAGTTTTGAACCTGCTTTAGAGTATGAACACACTCTAAAACTTTTTTAACTTAATATCTTCCACAAAGGTTATGAAAGTTTTGTAGATTTGAAAAGAGATTGTGGTGAAAAATGATGACATGATCTATCCTTTGGACTTCATTAGCTTTACTTAAATGAACAGAAATGTTCCTGTTTCTATTTAAATATTAATGAAACATTTTCACACGTTTAAGCAATTTCGGTAGAATTTGCAAACAGATATTTAGTAATTTTTGTAAGCTGTAAGCAGTTTAAGACTCACAGTTTAAGAACTGTATACTGATTGTACATGTAGTACTCTGCAAAGATTTTACAGCACGAGCCGATCTGCTTCACTGGTGTAGCCGTGTGGCACGTCAGAAAGACGGAGCGTAATCTGATGAGGCGTACCCCTGGATTGATTAACAGAAGATTGCGGCAAACGCGGGGAGTAATATTTTCCAGCGCTTTATCATTTTGCTAGCCTGATGCTCTGTGGCTTCTCACCCTGCTTGAGATTCTGACCCTCCCCCTTCGTTTCCCATTCCTTCCTACTCGCGGCTCTCTCTTCTCCTCTCCCCTTTGCCCCCTCCCTGCTCCCTCCGTCTCTCACACACATTTCCTCTCTCAGACACTCACACACACACGAGCGCACAGACTGCGAAAGAAGGGGGCAGGGGGAGTAGTGGAGACACGATGCCTGAAAAAACGTGAGCGAGGGAAAGAGAGAGCGAGAGAGAGAGAAAGAGAGAGAGAGAATAGGGATGTTGAAGGCTAGGGATGGTTTGAGAGGGAAAAAGCAAGAGAGTTTGAGATTGGGGACAAGGGATGCGAGTGCCTGAGATGCTGAGAGAAGACAGAGAGTGATGGAGGCAGAAAACGTGAGTGTGTGTCTGACACTCGTGGTGCTGTAGACTATGGGATTGCTGTAGGGGAGGTAGGTTGTGCGTTACCTATGGGATCAGTGTGATTGTCTTTGCTCTACCTGCCTGTGAGCTCATTGTCTCTGTGTGTGTGTGTGTGTCTGACTGCCTGTCTGACTGTTCTTGTCTTTCCAGAGGTGACCAGACACTTAGATCAGACCTACAGAGTGTGGAGCGGATGGACATTTTCTCCTTTTCTGTTTCGTACGGTGTCTTTGTCTCATCAGGTTCAACTTTTTTCTAGTCGGACACGTTTACGCATCCTTCATGCAGCTTGTGAATGGTTTTTTTCATCTTAGACGTTTAGTTTTTGACAGACTTTACACACCGACATGCACTTTTTGTCGCCGCAAAGGTTGACATTGTCAAAGTCTGCATGTTCCTGATGCCACGATAAGGTAGAGCATGTCATTCTGGATTTTTGCCATTCGCCCCAGCTACATCATCATGCCATTTTTAGCACTTGTGTTTGTCAGACAGTTTATTGTAGGGCTTGTGATTGACACACCTGTGCACATGCATGTTTGTAAGACATTTATGAAATGCATTTAATAAAAGCGTTTATTTTTAAGACAATAGAACCATTTGTTTAACTACTGCTGCAGCTGTTTTTAGAATTCATGACACTGTGATGATTTTGAAAAAAATAATCATCATAGATTTTCGAGAATTTGACCAGTTGTTAGTATTGCATGTCTGCAACCAGCTAGCCATGAAGCCAATCAGTGAGTTGCTGACATGCAATTTTTCCTTGCACTAAATAATTTTTATTAGTGAGAATTGTTTGGGTTTTTATTTATTTATTTATTTATTTTGGTAATAGCCTGGGTGAAGAATGGGAACAGTTCGGTGTCTCTTCTCACTCAGTCACTGTGTCAGTTATATCAGCTGTCTGCCAAGAAGGGGCACTATTGCACCATTTTACCTTCTTCTGGTCTCCGTTTATAGTTTGTGCACTTTGGTATTATTTCAAGTGTTATCTAGCACTGTAAAATGTTTGATTTGGATATATTCACATTTGTTTTCTTTTATCTTCGCAGGTTTCAACTTAAACACCTGGGCGTTTTGGGATTAAAATTGGATTATTTTGACGTTTTGTTCTGTAGGTACTCAGTTCAGCCCTGTCCTTGTATTACCTGGTGACAGCTGAAGGAACTGTGACTATTTCTGTTGGATAATTTATGACTTTTTATTTATTAAGAATTACTTCACACTGTACGTTTGTTGTATTTGATCTCAGTTTTGCATTTGGTTGTTACGTAATAGTGCGGAAAAATCCTTTGTCTTTGTCTCAGGAGTCAGCGAATGTACCTTTGATTTCCCCCTAAAAAAACCTCCTCAAGCAGATGAAGCCTTCCTGAAGTTGAGGGTGCAGAGGGTGATGCCACGGCTTACAGCCTCTGCGGTGAAACATATTGCAGTAAAAAGTACCTATCAACAACACCCCATGGCTTTATGATGACTGACACAACACAGTCTGGTGCAAATATTACGTGTTTACTACTCTCTGTGCGCCATCACAGCCTGACAGTCTGAACAGCATAGCCCCCTTTTTTTACAGGTGCTTTAAATGTTTTTGGAATTGAAGACATGGTGTAATTGTGCTTTTAAATTCCAGCAATATGGTCCTGTTTTTTTACACAGTATGTCTCTTTGTCCCTGAGACCCTTAACCTGTGAGGTCAAACTAGGTCACAGGTGAGGTCCTCAGGAACAGGGCTGCATGCGTCGTCATCCCCAAACGTCAATCAGAAGAGGAACATTTTTCTTTTAATATGTCTTTTAGTCATATTTATAAACATTTTTCAGAGTCTGATAAAAATAGATGCGTTATGTTTTGATTTGGCATTCTTAGACTGTTAACGATTAGACTGTATTTTGACCCTTCAGTTTTAGTTGGGACTACCGGGGACACACCCTATTGGCTGGCTTTGTGTTCTACACAAAGAAATGATCCAATGAGAAGGCAGCCAAGGGTGGTGACCCCATATTATTATCATCACCGATACTATCAAGTTCATACATGCATAAATCTCAATGTGCATCTCATTTACAATCATATACCAGTGAGATTTCTGACTTTCTTGTGTGCAAGATTTGTTCAAGCGTATTAATGAAGCTATTTAAAAATAAATTCATGAATGAAGGAGAGATTAAACAATCCACAAAGCATGGTCGGAGACTTTTCTGCAGCTGTTATACCTTTACTGCATTCTGTGAACTATAAAAGCATAAATTAGGTGAGCATGAGATCTGACTGAATCTGAACAGCGCAATGCAGACTGAGCTCTTTGTTCTGGTATAATTCATTCATACTTTTCAACAGTTTAATGAATACAAAAAAACGTTTGGAAATATTTCAGACAAAGCCAAAATATGCTGGTAACTCCAGGTGATGCCAACTTTGGGTCAAGATATAAAACCATTAAATTTAAGCTATAATATCTGGATGTTTTAGTTTTTGTCATTTTTAAAAGGGTTTACACCACAACTCAAATAATATCTTTTGGATAAACAATATCTTTATTAGAATTAGAATGACTTCCTTCAAGTTGAATAATGATTACAACTATTGACAGTCAATCAGAATCTTTATCTGCTGTAAAAGCTCTGGCATCTGAAGTGGAAGATGACAAAACTACATTACTTAAACAGTAATAATATCACTTAAACAGAATGATATCATCAAAATGTAGCCAACATTATAGTTATCTTTATAGTACTTTGCATGTGTGTGTAGCCAATACACAAAATAATTACATTTTCCGGTGAGTTTGGGCTGCTATTGTTGAATTTTAATTCATGTTATTTTTGAATCCATCACTGGAGTTTGTGCTTAAAAGAAACAGAAAAATATTGTCAGAATGTATTTGGTTTTATAGCTGATGTATAGTTATTATTTTTGGTGTGATGGGCCAAGAGCCTAACTGAATAGGACATTAACTAACTATAAAAAAAGTATTAATAAAGGCTATTCTTAATGTTTTTTTTCTTTTAATTCATCTTTGTTTTATTTGCGCTTTTTACTATGTAAATTGCGTCAAAGCAGCTTAACCCATTTGTGCCCAAATCTTTCTAAATGGTTTCATGTATGTGGCCTTGTTAATAGTGTTCTATTTGTATGTTTTGTATTTATTTTCTCCAGGTTTAAAAAAAATCTAGAAAATTGTATTTAAATATAGTTCAACATTGTACTGTAATGTAGAGCTTGAATTGGAGGAAAACATTTGGCATTCTAACTCAATACAACTGCTTAAACAGATAAATTCATATTCATAAACACATTTATTATTTATTTATGACACACTACTTTCAAAAAGTTAAATTAAAAAGTTTAATATATAATTTTTAGTAACATGAAATTTGCTTTTATTTGGGACGCTTTGCCTCCATTTTGCATCCTGGAATTAGTGGTAGCTGAAGGATGAAAGCCTCACAGGACAGGAGGTAAATCAATTCCTCTTTTTCTTTCTTGAAATCTTTTATTTAGTCATTTGCTTGCATGTCACTGAGGAATTAAACATGGATAACATGTAGAAAATTATGTACAAAAGCAAAATGGCAACTATTATTTTCAGCAACTGTAGTTACCGGTGGGCTTGAATGGGCTAACATCCCTGCAGGACGTCAACATGATGTCATATTGACTTTGTACCCCAACGTACCCTTACATCGTAGGGCCATTGGATTTTGTTTGGAAATGAAAATCGGGTTGAGGTCAGAACCCAACGTCAGGCGACGTCAACGTCCAATACAAAATCAACCTAAAATCAACCAAATATCAACGCCTAATCATGTTACACTTTGACGTAGTGTGGAAGTTACCACTATGACATCAATCAGACATTGGATTTTGGTCACTTTCCAATACAACCTAAAATCAACCATATATCAATGTAATTTGACGTTGTTATTGGACGTCAGAATAACATTGTCCTTAGACGCTGACTAGACATCGTATTTTGGTCACCTGACGTCATGACCTAAATCTAACGTAATATTTACGTCTTACAATGTTGTGTGCCTGCTGGGATAGTGCTAGTAAATTGAATCTGCTTCAGTTCAGTGTTCACAAGTTCAGTTTAGTGCAGTTCGGTGTAATGTAAATGTCAGTGCTGAAAGCCCAAACACTGAACTCTGAAGATCGACTCTACTGATATGCATTAAATTTAGTGCCTACTTCTTATTCATTTGTAAGATCTCATTCTTGCATTTTATAAAATTAGTTCACAGCCTCAGTGGTGGTAATGTTTAGGAACAGGACTTCTTTCGTAAAATAACAATTGTAAGAATTTGTAGGAATTACCCAGTTTTTCAACAGTTTAATTCAACTTTATTTCTATAGCGCTTTTACAATGTAGATTGTGTCAAAGCAGCTTATAGAAGTCAGTATGTAAAATAGATTTTTTTCTTGTGAGAACAGGTTGGTATAATATTAATTTTGTATTTTATTGAACATGAATTTGACACTTATCTCAGTCTTGTATCCGATGCAAGCATTTGCTGTAAAACCTCATCTGAAATGATGTGTATTGAGAAGAAACTGTGACACACTTGAACTTGAATTGAACTAAATTAAAAGAAATCTCACAAGCATACACAACGCAAAGATTTGAATTCAATGTCAAGTTGCTCAGTGCGATTTCTCTCAAGAACAATGACTTTTTGCGTTTAAAAAAAAAAAGCAGCAGCACAGGCACTTTATGATATGTTCATTTTTCAGCGCCCCCTCTCTGACTCTCTGGCCTCCAGTTGGAGAGCCAGCTGTGGAATTAGCATCTCAGGACAGCGCAGCGCAATGCTACCTGTCTTCTGATCATTGCTTATAGGCCGGCTGACTGACTACAAGCGTCTTTTCTCTGGCAGGCCTGTGGTGGGGCTCCTGCTCACTATTGATTGGCTTGTCTTTGCGGAGACAGATGAATGCATTAGTACCCAAGTCGCTCCTGCCACTGGAAATATATTAACTTCATGTATTAGGCACCCTGTCTCGTTACCATGGCGACACTTTGGAAAAGACAGAGAAGGGGGGGAGAAAGGGGGTTTTGGGGTGATGGAATCGGGGGGGATGGGTGTGGGATACTGGATGCAGTGAGCTTGTGGGCTTGATTGGTCGTCTCTCTCTATTTCTCAGATGCACACACACGCTGACTACACTGGAAGTCTCTTCCATATCCAACTATATTATTTTTTTTTAAATATTTCTTTTTATCTTTATATTTATAATTCAGAAAATGCCAATTACACTCTTCTTTCTCCCATTATTGTGATTCCATGTTTTGTCTTTCTTTGGTCTGTTGCTCATAGATCGGTGATCGATCACATGCACAGAATGCCTTTCCTTTTCTCTTTGTTCCGGTCAATTTGGATCATTTGCAATATCTCGGCACCCCACCACCATCATCATCATCAACAGGCACACAAGCATCACCCGCTCCCTCCCTTTTCCCTTCTCTCGCTCCTTTTCTCTTTCACACACACACTCCCCATCTCTTTACTTTGCAGCAAAATGGTGCATAATGGGAGCAAGAAAAGGGTTGGAAAGACAATGGAGTCAATTTGGAGTAAGAAATATTGAGGGGGCTACACAAGACCACCATGAGCGTCCTATGATCTACTCGCATATGTTAAAGAATATGAATAAATTAAAATGTTACCATCATTTACTCTGTTTCCTGAAACAATGTTAATGTCTATTATTTCTGAAGGAACACAAAAGAAGACATTTTGAAGAATGTTAGTATGCAGACAGGTTTTGTTTCGGCTTCCATTGTTTTTTTTTTTTTTTCATAGAAGTATTTAAAATATCTTTTTTATGTTTTACAGGGGGGGAAAGCCATTTGAAATTGAAGGGATTGTTACCCCAAAAACATTTATATTTTACTTACTATTTACTCCAAACATTTGAGTTCCTTTATTCTCTTGAACAACTATAGGCTATGCAGGAATGGGATTTGGATGTAAATGATATTTATAATACATTTCAAATATGTATTCTCAATACAAAATAGAATTTTGCCATTTGTATTTGGTGCAGTAGTGCAGTGGGTAGCGCTGTCGACTCACCACAAGAAGGTTGCTGGTTCGAGTCTTGGCTGGATCAGTTGGCATTCCTGTGTGGGGTTTGCATGTTCTCCCCGTGTTTGCATGGGTTTCCTCCGGGTGCTCCAGTTTCCCCTACAAGTATAAAGACATGGGGTATAGATGAACTGGGTAAGCTAAATTGTCCATTGTGTATGTGTGTGAATGAGTGTATAGGTGTTTCCCAGAGATAGGTAAAACATATGCTAGATGAGTTGCTGGTTCATTCCACTGTGGCGACCCCTGATTAATAAAGGGGCTAAGTGTAAAAGAAAATGAATTAGAACATTTTGAGTAATTTGTATTTTATGGGGTTTAAAAAATACTTTCCTTTTTTTTGTATCAAAATACTTAAATGTTTTGTATTTTTTAATAACTGTGAAATATTTTGTTAGAAGTCTACATTAGTACCTTTTCAATTATTTGCCAAGGCTTGAGATCAGACTAGAAAATTGAAGAATATTGAAGAAGTTGATCAATGCTTGGAGTATGGATGGAAATTATGCATCACATATGAAGAAAATAACAGACATATAGCAGTGGAAGATTTGGGAGCAAGTCAAAATTAGACTGGAAAATAGGACAAACAACAGTAATAAGTCCTACAACACTTTATTGGCTGTTTTAAATGCCAGTATACCGATCTGTCGGTGCTCTTTATAGTTAATTACAAACTTTGATATAGTTAATTAGTATGAGACAAAATATTTAATAAAACTCCCGTCTACAGACTGGTCAAAAACTCCCAACTTATGGCAGCACAAATAGGTAACTAAATTTAATGAGATATTATGTTTTCTATTGTTTATTGAAGAGTACAATTGCAAAAAAAAAAAAAAAAAAAAAAAAACATGATTTATGGAAATTACTAAAGCTGGAGATTTTTAAGTTTTAAGCAATCTTGATTTTACATTGAGCATTGAAGATTTCAATTACAAAAAAAAATTTGAAATACAAGACTTTTAAGATGTGGTGGCTTTTTAGTGAAGGGATTGATCAAATAGGCCTGTTGATAGAAGGTTTGCCAAGAAATATCATGCTCCCTTATAAACTCAAAATACAGTATTTTATTTTGATTTTTGTGGCTGCTGTATTTTGTAGTTTCTGTTTGATATTGAGGTATTTGGTATTTTATTTGAAAATACATTTCGATGTATTTTTGCCCATCCCTGTCAAATACTATAGAAGTTAATGTTTACTGGTTTCCAGCTTTCTTTTAAAAAATCAACTTAGAAATTAACTTATCATAATAAAAAGGTTTGAAACAAGGGAAGGATGACCAAACAAGATGACTTAACAGATTTTTATTTTTTGGTGAACTTTAATCCCTTTAACAAAGAAAGCTGAGAAATCTTAATAGTGTTTAATGCACTGTAAAAAATAAAAAGTTGAGTTAACTTACAAATTTAAAGCAACTGGCTGCAAAGAAATTGAGAGTTTATTCTATTTTTTTTTTTTTTTGGTTTAATGAAAAGGGTGGTTTAAGTCGAGTATACTTCATGGAATAAGTCGATTCAACTCAATTTCACAAAATAATTTCCGCTGTAGTTTAAAGACTTTTAAACTTCAAGTTTAAAGAAGTTTATTTCTTTCCAACTAGTTGCTTTAAATTTAAAGTTAACTCAACTTTTAATGTTTGACAGTGCAGGAAGTTAAATTTAGGTCTCCTCAACACATTTCATTATTTTCTTTGAACAAACAGTTCTAAAAATGAAGTTTAATAGTTTTCATGGGCAAACTCATGAGCTCAAAAATATGTCCACCCAAACTGAGTTAACAATTTGTACGTTGGAATTTTTACAGTGTTTTAAACTTTGTTTGAATTATTGGAACTCTTAAAATGCAGTGGAGAAAATTACACTTTGTAGAAAAGTTGAGTATTTATTAAGCTGTTAACTGGTTCAAGGTAATTAATAGATTGTGTGCAAGAAGTGTAGAATGCTTATATTTAACATGTTTATTTCTGCTATTGCTCACTATTTAAGGATTCAGTTATGTTGTGCAAGATAGATATATAACTGAGTAAAAAAAAACTTTTCAGGGAGCCATATAAAATCACTTTAAACCCACTTAATTGGGTTATTTAAACTGATTTTATTTTATTTAAAAAGCTTAATCTGAAAAAATCTGTTTTACTTAAAGCCACTATCGCTATGTTGCTTATTCAGTAACAATAACAGATGTATATTATGTGCTGTTAAGGACCATTTAATCAGAGGAGTTTATTTCACAGCCAATGGAAATCACAATGAGGTAATGCATCCTGCAGTAGTCTGCTATGCTTTTAAAAGTGTAGTACGCCCTAAAATCTAAATTGTCATCATTTATTCACCCTCCCATTTACTCATTTGATGCACAAATGTTGTCATTGACAAGTAGCCTCTTAAAAATGTGCAGGCAGTTCTGCCCCTTTGTATGCCTAACTAATTTGAAAGTGAAAGTATAAAAGCGAGTGCATTTAAGAGTAACATTTGTATACCCTTATCCATGCAATTTTAAAGGGTACGTCTTAAACAGCTCCAGTAAGCTTGGATTACACATTGGGACACTGATTGTGACATGTACAATGAAAATAGCAGAACTGACATTTTACATAGCAATATTACTTTTAAGTACATTATGAATAATTTGTTTCATATAGGCAACACTGTTAAAAAATGCAAAATTTGATTTTTTTTTTTTAAGTGAACTGTCTTTGAGAAAGCCACACATTTAAATAGGCTACATTTAAAATCTTTTTAATTATTTTAAAATTGTTATGTTAATTATAACAACAATAATTATAACAAATGATAAGATTAAATTATATGTATTGCTGTGCTTAAATAATTATTTAATCTCATATTTTGGTCTCATCGTGATCATGATGTAATTAAGCGTCAAGTTTCAACTGATAATGTTGTTGTTTGGATTCAAATTATTTTCTTAAGCCAGAATAGCTCCAGCGCTAGCAGAAATGTTTGTGTTTATTGCAAAACTGCTGATTTTCAGCTCAGTTATTACATCGGCTTTCACTTGCTATCAATGTTTCATTGATGAAAATGACAGTCGTCGTTTGTGTTTGGGTCATATTCTTACCGAATACAATGTAAGGAATGTAGACTCTTGTTACAAAACATTGGATCGCATATTCAACAATGAAGAGAAAGTCATAGAGGCTGGTAAAGTAGGTAAGATGAAGAAAACACTTTCTTTTATGCTAATATGCTAACAAGGTTTTGACGGGACTTAAGCAGGTTTTTTACTTTGTAAAATTGGAAAACTTATAATACAAATAAATTACAACATACTTGGAACAAAAATGTAAACGCTCAATTAGGTATATGGCAGTGGTTCTTAAACTAACGTTACATGTAACTTACCAAAAGGCTTCCTTCTAGTGGTACGCGGATATCGCTCAATAATTCAAGTAACAAAATGAACATTTTTAACTCTTTGACGCGTATGATAACAACGATGTGATCAGAAAATTTATGTTAATAGGCTAAACCTTTTTCTTTCTAATGTTTGTTATGTATTCTTTTATTTGAGGTTATTTCCTCAGCATAATTGTAACGGTGGGGCGTATTATTTTTATCATAGCTGCCAACTCTGGCATCTATCGTGAGAGTCACGCAATTGACAGTATCCTTTTTCTCACGCAGAAAATCCTCTCCTTGAAATATATTTTAGCTTTAATAAAGACGGCTTTAAAGACTTTATTCGTTTTATAAAGACGTGATTTTTGTGAGCAATATCAAAACAGGTAAAAGCCATGTAATCGAAACAAACTGTCGCAGGCGCGCAGATGGCATGCCCGCGCGCCTCTCGCGCCGGTCCTGCTTGCGCTGACGCTCTGCTCGCGTTCCCGCTCCGGTTATGAATCTTAGTTGTACACATTCATGTCAAACAATATGCGTGCTCATACGCCACTTATGCGTTGTGTTGTGGGTTGTTAAAAAGATTGTATCAATTTCAGTTAAGAGATGCATATTTCAGAGGGGGGTGCATTTTATGGCAGGGGTAACAGCCTTTTATGTAGACTACAGGTGTCCGCCTGCAGTGAGTGTTGCAAGTCTAAAGTTTAAACAAAATGATGATGTTATTTTGACTAATGGCTTCTTATAGTTTTTTTTTTTTTTTTTTGAAGCAGAAAGGAGGGATGAGGTCAGGGAGTTCATTCATTCATTCATTCATTCATTCATTCATTCATTCATTCATTCATTCATTCATTTTTTTCGGCCTAGTCCCTTTATTAATGTGGGGTCACCACATCAGAATGAACTGCCAATTTAATCAGCATATGTTTTACGCAGCGGATGTAAAATGTTTTCTCTGTTTAACAACAGTAGGTCAGTGGTAAAATATGACTTTACTTGCGTCAGATTCTTCTTGGTCTTAAAGCCTTTGATGGGCTATTTCCACAATGTATGATGGCTTAGCAGTTAAATAGGACAAATAAGTAATGTATGGGACAAATTCTACATCTTTGTCAGTTGGGGGTGGGTCTTTCAAACCACCTGAACCCTCACGATGGTTGAAATCTAGGGACGACTATTTGGATCTGTATCAGATTTGATAGGCTACTAAAATGTTGTCACATAGCTTCATTTGAGGAAGTGTGCACATTCCCTTTTAGACACTGTAACAAAACATCTAATCATTATTAAAGTCTATTTGGCTTTATTTCATTTATGGTTAGTATAATTAGCTTCAGATAAATTTTCTTGGTCAGGGAACCTGCACTTTAGACTAGTTGCAAAAACTAAGACAGCAATAGTTAAGACATAAAAATAATTAGTCTACGTGTTTCTGTATTGTTGTTACCATTATATTGTTGTTGTTTTATCTTTTTCTCAGGGAGAGGATATGACTTGACGCTGAAGAATATTTTGATGGCTGAGATTATGCCTATAGTAGAGGAATTTGACCAGCAGCTAAATTACGGTAACAGGTTTTCTAATTACCAGTCTAAACAATAACACTGTTTGAGGAAAGACCAGTTAAAGAGACTACAGTGTAAATATTAACTCTCATACACAATCCATATACTAATAGTATAAGTTATTAGCTCTTATCGTAAACTCTACCGGTACTTAGATGGCAACAAAATAAGCAGGCTCAGTTTCTTATCAAACAGTCACTGAAAACTGAGTTGTGCAAATGTGAAGCATTTTGCCTACACTTTCCACACCCTTGTTTATGAGATGCTGGTTGTTGTAAAAATGTAAACCTGTCATTTCTAGTGGTTTGACTGCAATATTGTCAGAACAAAATAATTTATCCCTAAGAAAAAACACAGAAACAATACAGAATGTTATTTTCTCTGTGAACCATTTCAAAAACAACTACTGGCTTCAGGTGATTTCTTTTTGTTCTGTAATTAAGTTGCCGATGCGCCATTTTGAGGACGGATCTTTTACATTGAGGAGAGTGGAAACGACAGACAGAGACTGGCATGATACATCAGGCAGAGAAATCTTGATTGGAGGAGACAGATAATCTTTGACATGCACACTTTGAGTAACATTGAGATAAATGGTGCTGTCCTTCTTCCGTCTCCTCTCTTCTTTAGATACAGAGTATGAGTCCAGGTTACAGGCAGCAGCAAACAATTTCATTGCAGCGGCCTCAAGCCTGCCCAGAGGTGAGACTTACATTATAACTTCATTTCTTGTGCCTGAGAAAACATGAAACCTAGACCCGAGCCTTCTACTTCAAACCACAGCTCTCACTTTTTTCTAGTTTTATCACAATTGTCTTCTTTTTTAGAAACTGCAATCTGTAAAAATGCGTTTTTATGTTTTGATTTGTTTTGTTTGTTTGTTTTTGCAGTATCTGGATGTTTGCCCCCATGTGGTGAGTTGTGTCTATTATGAGCTGATCATAAGAAATTCTTTTGAGAAACTTTGCAAAAATTGTATACTGGTCTGCTTATTCATTTGTCTTAATATAATTCTAATTATTTTTATTTATTTAATTATTTATTTTAGTTATTTATTGATTAAATACCTAAAATGATATATTTATTTCACATACACACACACACACATACACACACACACACACACACACACACACACACAAACAGTAAATAGTTCTGTATAGTTCTTTGCCATGATTCTTTGCAATAATATTTTGTTAGATGTTTTTCAAGACACTTCTATACAGCTTAAAGTGTCATTTAAAGGTTTAACTAGGTTAATTAGGTTAACTAGGCAGGTTAGGGTAATTAGGCAAGTTATTGTATAACGATGGTTTGTTCTGTAGACTATCGAAAAAATATATAGCTTAAAGGGGCTAATGATTTTGACCTTAAAATGGCTTTTAAAAAAGTCCAAACTGCTTTTAGTCTAGCCAAAATAAAACAAATAAAACTTTCTCCAGAAGAAAAAATATTATCAAACATACTGTGAAAATGTCCTTGCCCTATTAAGCATCATTTGAGAATTTAAAAAATTTAAAAATGAAAAAAAAAATCAAAGGGGGGCTAATAATACTGACTTCGACTGTATATAAATATATGGTGACGCAGTGGCGCAGAAGGTAGTGCTGTCCCCTCACAGCATGAAGGTCTCTGGTTCGAGCCTCGGCTGGGTCAGTTGGTGTTTCTGTGTCGAGTTTACATGTTCTCTCTGCTTTCACGTGGGTTTTCTCTGGGTGCTCCGTTTTCCCCCACAGTCCAAAGACATGTAGTACAGGTGAATTGGATAGGTTAAATTGTCCATAGGGTATGAGTGTTAATGAGTGTGTGTGGTTGTTTCCCAGAGATGGGTTGTGGCTCGAAGGGCATTCGCTGAGTAAAAACGTGCTGGATAAGTTGGCGGGTCATTCCGCTGTGGCGATCCCGGATTAATAAAGGGACTAAGGCGAAAAGAAAATGAATGAATATATATATATATATATATATATATATATATATATATATATATATATATATATATATATATATATATTGTTACACCCTAGCCCTTCACTGTTACTTTAAACCCCTGCTCTAGGAAACAAGAAAATTAATCTTTCAAAACATTCACTGAAAGCTGAGGTGAATTTTCCAATTTTAGAACACAATTCTAGAACATCCATGACCTGTGGGAACCTTGTATATACTGTATTGGGTTTCTTGACTGTTCAATGGCGTATATGGAATTTTAAATAGTCTATGGTAATGGTAAAATAGTTTTAATATTTTATTCCAGACATAAGACGGGGTATATATATGTTTTGTCCAAGTCAAAGTAATATTAGTGATGAATAATAATAATAATAATAATATTAATAACAATATACATTTTGGGTGTTAAAAAGATGACAGAAAAACTAAATGTAAATTTGTAAAAAAATGAATCTAGCTAACCATTTAAACATTAATCAAAGCACTACAGCGGCCTGTTTTTCAATTAATTAAAGGTAATGGAAATTCCTTTAATTTTTAGTGGTTATTTGGCTTAAACTGGAATATACTGCTGGCTCATCTGAACTTTTTATATTAAGATATAAAATGAACTACTGTTCCTCTTTAGAATACATAAAGAAATTTGTGGGATCTTTTTTATTATTTGTTTAAAGGAGGCTTTTTAGACTATGCTTTTTATTGAATGTATAAAAATAGTGTAAAATGTTTAGATTTATTATTGCAATCTCCTTTCTCTGATTGTGAGGTCACAATTTTACTGTTGATGCAATAAAATATGGTTGCAAAAAAAAAAAAAAAATAGGGTCAGGTTCCAGCTAATATTTTGCAAGAACTGTAAAAAAAGAAAAAAGAAAAATGGCAATATCATAACATTCGTTTCATTTTAGCGCTAAAATACAATGACATATGGAGAGATAAATAATTTTTTACAAAATTACATTGAATCATATTTACACAGTGAGTCCTGAGTTTTCTTAAAGTGCATATTTATAAAATATATTAGGTTCTGTATGATATTGTAAAATGCTGATATTGCTATATTTTGTTTGTCTACAATAAGTATTGCAATAAATATCCCATTTCACCAAATTATACGATATATATAATTTCATCAGAGGACTTAAAAACTGCTGTTTAAAAATAATTTATTCATTTAGATTGATTGGAATGATTCTGTGGGGAAGTGAGTCATTCATAAATGTAAAAAAAATGAATTAAAAGCAAAGATAAAAATGAAACAAACAGTGATTCATGGTTTCGGGGCAATCAAATAGTATTCAGGGACAGAATTTGAAAAGTAAAATGCAATGTAAAACTGTCACTGGATAAATAATTCAATAAAAGTATTCTTTATTAAAGTTACATATGTTAAAATTTCTTGTGCCTGAATACTTTCAATGCTGTCAGGGCTTACAAACATGCAAATGAAAAACTTTCACTCCATTTGCAATAACCACATAATTATCATGTGTCCAGAACTGTTTCCCCTGGTTAACTACCATCATAATATGATAACTCATCAATAATATAATAACTCGACATTGCGATGTGACTATTGTGGATGTGCACATTGCGATATCGATGCTGAAACTATACATTGTGCAGCCTTACTATACATCTTTCACAATAAAAATTCGATACATGTTTATCCTCTTAAGGCCCAAGCTGTTTTGTGACATGCATTTTTTTTTCTCTCTTTGCTATTTGTGCTTATTGGAACCTAATTAGAATAAAACGTAAGTATCATCTTTTGATATGATGTACTTTTAGAGAAAAATTATGTCCATATATGTCGACTTGTGGTCCGAATTTCCATAAAACGCAATAAAGTCACCATTGTGTAATAGAGTGAAAAACACTTTATTTCTGCCTTGAACACAGCAGGTTTTTTCTGACTTGTTTAATGCATTAATAACGCATACACACATATTTCTGAACATGTTTTTTCTAAAAATTATTTACCCATTTTGCCCAATTGAACCAGTTGTAAGTGTTTGGGACACTTTCAAAAAATAAAACATAAGGCATAAAGAGCTAAAATGCGTTGTCCAGGTAAGTTGAAGTCAGAATTATTAGCCCCCCTTTGAATTTTTTTTTCTTTTTTAATATAAGGACATTTTCACAGTATGTCTGATAATATTTTTTCTTTTAGAGAAAGTTGTATTTGTTTTATTCCGACTAGAATAAAAGCAGTTTTTAAATTTATGAACAATTTTAGAGACATAATTATTAGCCTCTTTCTGCAAATTTTTTTTCGACTGTCTACAAAACAAACCATCAATATACAATAACTTACCTAATTCCCCTAACCTGCCTAGTTAAACTAATGAACCGAGCTAAGCCTCTAAATGTCACTTTAAGCTGTATAGAAGTGTCTTGAAAAATATCTAGTCAAATATTTTTTACTGTCATCATGGCAAAGATAAAATAAATCAGTTACTGTATTAGAGATGAGTTATTAAAACTATTGTGTTTAAAAATGTGTTGAAAAAATCTGCTTTTCGTTAAAAGAAAATTAGGGGAAAAAATAAGCAGGGGGTGTAATAATTCAGGGGGCTAATTATTCTGACTACAACAGTATGTGGCCACTAAGCCCTAGGAGGTTAAAGTAATATTCAGCTGCCTTTATTTTTTTAGAAAGAGGATGTTTTGCAGCAATAAGATCATTATATTTGGGGGTCCACAGTAACAAATATCAGGAGTTTTTTTTTTATTTTTAAGTGTAGATAAAACAACATTCAAGATCTTCTCTTCACTTAAGTCAGGTTACATGCTTTTTGGTCTTCAAATAAAGTTGCATTATTTCAAAGTAAAAATGTGTTGTTATTACAATAAATAAGGATTCATCTTTACTGTTTAGGTTTCCAGGTGCAGGGTGCTGTTTATAACTGCGTGACCTGTCAGTATGACTCCTGTGAGTTCCCGCTGGACTGTCCCGGTGAGTCCACAAACTCTCCACATTTGAAGAGCCCACACGTCTCCACATTTCTGTTCAATCTTCTATGATATGTATTTCAGCGCAGCCCCTCACCCACCGCTCTCTCCACACTTGCCATGATGGATATGTTATAACTCAACCTGACAGAACCACCTCTGTAATTACGTAACGGCATTTACGCAGCGCAAACATCTCCAGCTTTTAACTCTACTTAAGAGCACGGCGAAGTTGTTAAACGAAACCCTGGGTCTTGACACACTTTCACACATAATATCATTGCGCACAGATAGCCCTGTGGGTCAGCTAAGATGGCAGGCCGTCTCCCACACACCACCGTATTCATTTCCACTCTGCACAGCTACAATTACTGCTCGGCGGATCAGTTCTTCGGCTGCTCGCACTAGAGGCTCGCTTTAAATATTATAATTAGGTAAAAGGTGGGCAGACTGGGCTGCTTCTGTTCTTCTGTTGACAAAAGGCATTCAATTGCAAGGTGAAGTGTTATAGAGTTGAGTCTGATGTACTGCTGTGTGTGTGTGCGTGTACTTTGGCAGGGAAGGAAATCACTGTACAAGAGAACAACAGGACTCAGATGTGGTGTAGCGTCCCTTTCCTGCTGCCTGCAGATGTAGAGATAGTCTGGAGATACGCACAGGTGAACAGAATACCATAGTAGCTGGCAAGGTTTGAAATGGCTAATGTGTAAAACTAATAATATGTTTATAATTAGGCAGTCCTTTGTATTCTGCACATTGTGCTCATTAATGTCAGTAGAAGTTGTTTGTTTGTTTCTTGTATTAATTTTATTCAGACACAATTATAAATGTATTTCAGTTATATACCATTCTTTCTGCAATTTATTGTTGGATTTGATTTTATTTATTTCTAACAGAAAAATCATTCATAAAACAATTCTTTAAACAAAAATACATTTCAACATAGTCAAAATGGAGCGGGATGAAGCACAAGCTTATTATTTTCCCCACCCCATTACCACACACATAATTCGTCTGTTACTTCAACTTATTTCTTCTTTTACTTATCTCTTCTTTTTACATGAGACATATGAGCTTTACATGAGACAAACATGAGGCATCTTTGACATATTATATGTTTGAATCCATTTGTACTTTTACATTTTATAACATAGACCCAAAACTGCGTAGTACTGCAAACATCCATTAACTGAAATTTCATCAAACCTTTCTCATTTTCTCATTTTATCCATCATTATATTTCTTTAATAATATATATTTATACAACTTTTTAAACTGATTCATATCCTGACATTGTTTGAGAATCTGTTCTAGACTGTTCCATAATTTCACACCACCTACAGACTTACACAATTTTCTAAAGTTGTTCTTGTTTTCAACCCTCTTAAAATTTGGTTCTTCACTCAAAAAATATATTTTTTGCTCGTTTAAACCACTTATTTAAAATGAGCTAAAGCAACACAATTCTTGAGACTTCATTGGGACAACCTCATTTTGTATGTTCAGTCCACATAAGTGTTAATTTAACTTAATCGATTTGTTTTGGGACAACATGAGTAAATTGTGTGGAACCCTGCATTTTTTACAGTGTTCTCTCAGATTATATCTCCCTTGTCTTTCTTAAAAAAAAATTTGGTATGCATTTCGGAAGTAATTTATTCCCAGCTTTAAACATAAATTGTGCTGTTTTAAATTTAACCAAATCACTTAACTTACTTTAATTTAAAAAAAATAAAGGATTTGTATGCTTCAAATACTTGTACTTTTAATTCATCATCCATCCATCCATCCATCCATTTAGCTTCAAACAGAAGTCATTCATTTAAAAAAAAAATATATATATATATATATATATTCTTAAATATATATATATTCTTCTATTCTATACAGGCAAGTCATTGTATAACGATAGTTTGTTCTGGAGACTACCAAAAAAAAAAAAAAAATTAGCTCAAAGGGGCTAATAATTTTGTTCCAAAAATGTTATTATTTTTTTACTGCTTTTATTCTAGTCAAAATAAAACAAATAAGACTTTCTCCAGAAGAAAAATTATTATCAGACATACTGTAAAAATTCCTTGTTCTGTTAAACATCATTTGGGAAATATTTAAAACAAGAAAAAAAATCAAAGGGGCTAATAATTCTGACTTCAGCTGTATATATTCTACTTCAATAAATACAGTCAAGTAGGGCTGCACAATATATGGTTTCATAGTCACATCGCAGGGATCTGCAGTGTAGTCAGAATTAAAGTTGATCAGACATTACAGTTAACAACATGGTGGAGTAATTTCAAATTTTAACCTTCTAGCGAAAGTTTGTTATTTGCAAGTGTTTTTAAGGCCTGACTGTAAGAGTTTTGATTTTGCTACAAAAAATGTAACATTTGTAGCTTAAAGGTTATTTGTACATAATTACAATGATATAGTGTTATTATTATTATTAGTATTATTATTATACAGTGATTAATTGATTTCTGCTTTTGAATAGCCCTTAAATCCCCAAACAATCATAAAACATTGTTTATTTGCATTATTTGTCTGTTGTATTTAATGCTTGTCATTTTTAAAATTTTAGGTAGGCATGGGTCAGTATTAGATTGTGACAGTATGATAACCTTGGATAAAAATATCAGTTTCACGATATAAAATATGTTATTTTTAATGCATTTTTCCTTTTAAAGACTAAAAACTAATTTTTAGAAACATTGATTATGTTTCAGAGCAGTAACCATGTCAGGCTAAATAATTCTAATGAATCATTGATTTCTGGTCTTCATTTGTTTCAAAAACAAAGATTTCTTTACAATTTAAAACGACGTCTTTGGATATCTTTCTGCTGGAGCTACTGTTGTCCTTAAAAAATGCAAAAAAAAAAAAAAAAAGGTAAAAAAAAAACTTACATTTACCTTAGTACCAGTAGATCAGATAACTTTGGCGGTTTTAAAACCCTGACTTTTCCAAACCACGCTATACCTTAAAAACGGTTATTATCTCATGCCTAATTTTATACAGATATGTTCCACTACACAATCAACCCAATCTTTAAAAGCTTTTCAAGTCATCTGGTGAAATTGCCTTTATATATAAATCGCAGTGAATTAAAATATTGCAATGTCAGTTTTTTCCAATATCATGCAGCCGTACTGTCAAACCTGAAATTAGTAATACCGCTGGCAAATTTTAATTTAATGTTGCTTAAAGATTTTTTTTTACAATGAATTATTTGTACATAGTCTTATAATCTTTAGGGAGACGCCTGTGTGAGCAATAAAGTTGCTCATTGCATTAAAGTAACTTTAAGTCAGAATTTGCCAGGGGGTCAGAAAAATTGTTTAGTTTGTTTGTTGTTAAATTTGTTTTGTTAGCAAAGTAGTGCATTCAACGTACATATTCTATAATCTAATGAATATGTGATGTGGAAGACAGTACTTGAACTTAAAGTTAGCAAGATTGTGCTAGTACTTTAAAGAACCAAATCCCTGAGTCTTTCTTTCCAACTCCTTCTGTACTCTCAACCTCTGAATTTGATGAACAGGACAGAACGATGCTGAGGGAGCGTTTTGATGATGTGACAGTTGGAGTAGATCCTTTATACTCCATTCCCTCTGCCCGTCCTGAGCAATCTGGAACCTACCAGTGTGAAGTGCTTTCTCAGGAGCAATCACTCGTCCGGCTTTACTTCTACCTCACAGGTGAACACGCACACATACACACACACAAATCACAAGCAGTCACATCTCTGACCGCTGCGCAATAATGTCTGTGCTTTTCTCCCTCAGTGGTTCCTGTGGCACAGACTTATCATGTCCACCTGCAGGATCTCTGTGCTCAGGCTCTTCGTCCAGAACCCCAGTTTCCTCCTTCGTTCAGCTTCTGGTTGCCCAGGCCTGCCCTCCTCATCACCTGCCTGACCGCAACCATGCTGCTGATTTTCCTCAGTCTGGGGTAAATGTCTTCCTTTCTTCGCTGTAATTTTTCAGTTTCAACACTCTTTACTGTTTACCAGAAAATACTTGTCAACCCTGTTAAATTAAGGTTAGTTGAATAAGATGCTTGCTTACTTACTGTCAGGGTCGTTTATATTGAAGTTGAAAGATTGAAAGATATTTAGCCGCACCATGTTGGTGTTTCGTAACATCTAATTTTTACGAGGTGAGTCTTTAGCTCAATGCTAAACCGCAGCACCCAGAGGAAACCCACATGAACACGGGGAGAACATGCAAACTCCAAACAAAAATGCCAACTGACCCAGCTGCGGCTCAAACCAGTAACCTTTTTGCTGTGAGGCGACAGGGCTACCCATTGTGCCACCATGCTACCCATGGATAAGTTGCTTATGTACTGTAAATAATAAGTAATTGACTTACATTTTTGCACTGAGAGTTCACGTTAAAAGTCATTTGAACTTAAATCGGCTTGTATGACTTGATAAGTAGACTTAAAATTTAGAGTGATAAGTTTAAATATTTAAGGTTGAAAATATTTTCATGACTTGTCGATCATAATTTTTTGTTAGCAACTGAATTTCTGTAGCCACCATCATAATAAATAGTTACATTTCATTTAGTTCTCATTTTATTACACTTTGACGTTTAATAATCAAGGCACCCTTCAACTATGCTACTGTGCTGATTATGAATCTGGTCGGGGTTAGTAGGAAAAATGTACTTATAATCAGCAGAATGTCTGTTGCAGGAGCATCAAAATAAATTGTTTGCAGATCATTAAGCAGACAGTCCACCAATAAATTAATGACTGCTAATTAACTTGTAGTAGAAAATTACTACACTCAGCAGAATCTTTCTGATGATGCATTACCAAATTTTCAAAGACCTTTGAATATTTAATTGTAGTCCCCCTGAGTTTGTAATATAATCTTTAATCCACTTTATGTTATTGTAAGTTCTGTTTGACCCTAAAGAGATCACTTTAGTTCGAGAATTAAACTTTGCAAGTGTGTAAAACCATCAGAATACACACATTTATTTTTTTTCTATAACAGTAGATAGATATAACCATTTGACATATATGTGAATAAAACTTTATTTTGACATGTGTTATAGATACTGAAATTGACACAGTACTCACTTCTCACTTATCAGTTGTTGTACCAGTCATTTTGCAATGCTATAACAGACCACTAGATGGCAGGATTGAAGAATTAGTATAGCATATTAGGGATAGTTCACCCAAATTGAAAATTCTTTCATCATTTACTCACTCTTGACTTGTTCCAAACTTTATTAGTTTCTTTTTTCTGTTGAATACAAAAGATGATATTCTGAAGAATCTTGGAAAACGGTAATCGTTGACATTCACAGTAGAAAAAACTAATACTATATAAGTCAATGGTTAAAGGTTTCCAACATTCTTCAACTCTTCTTAATCTTCCTTTGTGTTCAACAGAATAAAGTGAAGATGAAATGAAGTTAAATCGAGTCATGGCAAAAATATAAAAACACACAGCTCCTCATTAGATATGGTCAAATTCATGAAAGCACCACCAATGGCAGTAAAAAGTAAAGGAGACAGTTTACAAATGACAGTTTACAAATAATGGAACAGTTTGTAAAGGAAACAACACCCTACAATCTTAAGTACCAAACAGAAAATTCATTATTAAGGAAAATGTTCTGATCAGAGACAAATTTGGCAAATAAAAATATGGCACAACAATTTAATAAAACAATGATAAATTGTACCATTTACATACAGGGAATGCATTATTGTTTCAGTATGATTTCATCCATTATTTATTTTCTTTAACTCTGTTAAGAATGTAATTAGAAAATAGTTACGAAATTAATGTCACAATGTAAAAAAAAAAAAAAAAAAACATTTTAAACAGGCTTAATAATAGACAAAAATCCTTTGTGCACAAAATTATGAATTCATTTTTGAGGGGTTGATGTTTTATTTTTGTTTATTTTTTTGTTATGTTTTGTTTTGTTTTGTTTTTCCCAAAAATGTTGCTTACTGTTTCAATTTGTCTCTCTTTGTCCATAGAGCGATGTGTCGGTTATGGTATCAGATTAGGACCAACGTTTCTAATCCAGCCTAAGAAACAATATTGACAGAAAAGAAGAAATACTTGATTCACTGCTAAACACAGTGTTTCAACAATAAATGCATTTCTAATTAAAACTGAATGGACTATTCAGAATTAATCTCTTCAAATACTATTAAACAGAAATGAGCTTTTGAAGACTTCTGGGAGAAAATGTAAGAGGCAGTGAATCTGAGCGCATGAATGCGACTTCACCACTACGTTCAGTTATAAAGGCTTCTTTATGCTACTAAATATAGCCAGACATGACTCAGGGCGTAACTCCTTTTACAGTTTTTACTCAGTGTTTTGATGCTGTTGTCCCAACAACCCATTAAGTCAAATCTGGGCGAGGAAAATGCTTTATTGTACAGAACTGCAATTTTCCATAATGTTTGTTAGGACAATGTGTATTTTAGAGCTACAAACTTTATTACAATGTCTGGATTTTATCACAGTGCTTAAGATTTAATGGCCTTTTCAAAAATTCAGAAATCTAAACATGCGGGATTTAAGTGATGACCGTTGATGATTATCATCATTTCCAACAGTCAGATTTCTGTTTTTCGTCTCCTTTGGCACCTCTTACCCCTATTTATCTGCAGTAAGATAAGATGATGTCCGCCAATTCAATGCTGAGGTCATGGCTGTTAAGAGAAAACACCCAAAATAGAAGACGGCTTGGTGTCAAAGTAAAGAGGAAAGTAAGATATTTTAATTCAAAGACAACCTCTGCCCTTTTTTTTGGATTTCTTGTCGGGTGATTTATTTATTTATTTATTTATTTTTTTTGCGTCTTTATTCGATGGCTGTTAGAATGAGTATCAAACTACAAAACCAACAACCATCACCCAAAGTCTCAGTTGCAACTGTAAAATTATTGGTACATGTGTGATGCAACAAAAAGATTTAGACAGAGACAAAAATGTAGGTGCAAATATTGTTTTATGAAACTTCTATTCTTTTTTCTTGCCTTGATCGAACAATTACAATGTTGTGAAAGTGTAAAATAAATAGCCATGTCTGATCATTTTGTTTCAATGGTTTCATTAGAGAATTATCTAACTATTAGATGTGTCATAGAAACTTTGTCTTCAAAGATGTTAAGGAGAACTTTTCTGTTCAGAGTTTTAATAAAAAGAGCTGTTAAAATGTTTAATGTCAGTCGACATGAAATTACTGTGGGTACAGAATTTAATAAAAAAAAGAAAAAAAAAGAAAGAAAAAAAAAGAAACACAGCTGGAGTCCCGCAGAACGTGTCTGTAATTGGATGTCAATGAAAAAAAACTAATTATCTGTCAGTTGTAGTCAGAAATATCAAATTCATATTGATCAGAAAAGACTATTAGCATAGTAACATGATAATATAAATATGGAAACCCAACAAAACTTTTTTGATAGTTTTTTTTTATATTCTAAGGTAAATATTTAATTTAAATGTTTTTTAGAACATTCTGAACTATATTATTAAACTGTATATTTGCTTATACTGTAGGGAGAGCTATCTAGAAGCTATCTATCTATCATTCATTATATTTACAGTTGAAACCAGAAGTTTACATACACTCTAAAAAAGGAACATAACCATTTAAAAAAATGTCTGATGGTAAATCATACTAAACATTTACTAATTTAGGTCCTTTAGGATTATCTAAATGATTTACATTTGCTAAATGCCAGAATAATGAGAGAACTTTTTCAGATAATTTTTTATTAATTTCTAGACAGTCGAAAGTTTACACACATTTCCTTGGTATTTTTTTTAGCTTTACTTTTAAACTGTATAACTTTGGGTTAAATGTTTTGGGTATCCTTCCACAAGCTTCTCACAATAGTTTGAAGGAATTTTGGCCCATTTCTCCTGATAGAACTGTTGTAACTGAGTCAGATTTGTAGTCTTGCTCGCACAAGCTTTTTCAACTCTGCCCACAAATTTTCTATAGGATTGAGATCAGGGCTTTGTGATGGCCATTCCAAAACATTCACTCTGTTGTCCTTAAAGTACATTTTAACTAATTTGGCAGTATGCTTAGGGTCATGATCTGTTTGGAAGACCCATGGCCCAGTTTTAATTTCCTGATGTCTTGAGATGTTGCTTCAGTATTTGTACATAATGTTCTTTCGTCATGATGCCATCTATGCTGTAAAGTGGACCAGTCCCTCCTGCAGCAAAACAGCCCCACAACATGATGCTGCCGCCCCCATACTTCACAGTTGGGATGGTGTTCCTAGGCTTGTAAGCTTTCCCTTTTGTCCTCTAAATGTAACACTGGTCATTATGGCCAAACAGTTCAATCTTAGTTCCATCAGACCACAGGACATGTCTCCAATTTTTTTTTTCTTTTTCCCAGTGTAATTTAGCAAATTGTAATCTGTTTTTTTTTTTTCTGGCTTGTTGATTTTCCCATGTTGTCACAAAAGGAAGCAGTGTGTTTGAGGTTTTCCTTAAATAATATTCTACAGTTGTGCCTCCAATTTACTCAAATGTTGTCAATTAGCCAATCAGAAACTTCCAAAACCTTGACACCATCATCTGAGCTTTTTCAGAGGCATAATAATATTATTGTATGTAAGCTTGACTTTCAAGAAAAGTTATAGCAATTTCTCAAAAAATCTCTCTTTCATTATTCTGCTGTTAAGCATAACAGAAACAAATTTGGTAATCCTAACTTACCTAAAAGAGAAAAGTTTACTCACATTAACATCTGACTTTTTTTTAATTGTTATGTGCCTTTTAATACAGTGTATGTAAGCTTCTGGTTTCAACTGTAAGTGAAGATTAAATAAAAATATTCTATCACCATTTCCTACTCCTCCTCTTCCAAACCTGTATAGTTTTAGTTTGAACATATTTGGAACGAGTTTTCAGCTATTTTTGTCTATAAATAAAAGTCAGTTAGTTTTAAAATATTGTTTACCGTGAAAGATGAATGTGGCATCTACTTTTACACCCCTCCAAATCATTGAATTCAGATGTTCCAAGCCATTCTATGCCCACAGGTATATAAATTTAAGCATGCATGCAGATTGCTTCTCGAAAACATCTGTAAAACGATGGGTTGCACTTAGGAGCTCAGTGAATTCAAGCGTGCTATTGTGAGGTACAACTCGAGTCAATCCATAAAATTTCCTTTCTACTACATATTCCACTGTCAACTTGGCCCCTTAGTTTTAAAAGGAACTTAATGCCAATTCCAATGCTCCCAACTTTGTGGGCATAGTTTAGGAACATAGTGTTATAGTTTAGGAACATATGCTAAGGGCATAGTGTCTTTCCGATCCACACTATTAAACAAAGCAAAGTACTTAAAGACATGCATGAGGGAGTTTGGTGTGGAGAAATTGACTGGCCTGCATAAAGTCCTGACCTCAACCTGAAAGAACATAAAGAGTTAGAATTAGTGCTGTGAATCGGGCTCAGGCACGGTTTACTTGGCCGGCCCTGGCCTGGTTGGAAGAGGTGTGCCAGAGCGCAGTTCATTTGGGCTTTGGCATGGTACGCTTGTGTGTGAGTGTAAAACGCTCCAAAGCCCAAATCTGAAAGCAAGATGTGACTTTTAAGGGACTGTTTCATAAGTGTTTATTAATAATATTTACTGTTTAACGAACGCAAACTGCGTAGTTTATTAAAGACGCAAACCCCTCACTGCACGACAGCTGCACCTTCAGCAAACATCAGCAAACCTCCTAATTCCTGCAGCACATGGACTTTATGATAGTTTATGATCGTCAAAAGTGGCTGATCTGTTCGGCGAAATATTTGACTGCATGTCACGGCATATCAAATGACATAGACGATATAACTAGAGAAATCTCCACTGTGCTGAGCGAGAGCGCTTATGACCAGCACATCATCGATGACGTAAACGTGACCAGGCCCGAATGTAATGTGAGCACAGGCCTTCTGGGAAACGGGAGGGGGGACAAGCGTGCTTTGGCCCGGTTCAAGGCAACTGTACATAGTGTGAGTACACCCTTAGAGCAGAATTAGACTTGTGTGCCAGGTCTTCACATCCAAAATCAGAGCATTTCCTTACAAATGCGCTTCTAGAAGAATGATCAAAAATTCCCAAACACACTTCTAAATCTTGTGAAGTTGAAACAGTTATATCTGCAATGGATGGACCAAGCCACATTAAACCCACTGATTAAGATGTCATAAAAGTTCATGTGCATGTAAAGGCATGTCTTAGTTATATGCGATAAGGATGCAAATATCAGTTAGTTGAATTAAATACCAGTACAGTGAAAGGTGGAATTAGCTTTATCAATGACTCTGAATCATTTGTGGTTGCTATGGTAGTGCAGCTTTGCTGTGGTGAGGCCAGCGTGTGAAAAGTGAAACAGAAATGACAGGATGATGAACATACTGTATGAAGTCTACACTGCACGTCTCTTACTCACACAGCTCTGCTTCCTCTTTTAATCATTGCCACATGTGCGGTCTGGGTCTGCAGACCCTCTGACGCAAGCAGGCGAATGGAGACTGGGTGGGCAGGAGCACAATAATTGCAAACATTTGTTGAGGCTGAAGTGTAATTTTTGCCATGGGCTCACTACCAGTAACAGAGGTTTCTTCATTTTCCTCAAGTGTAATCACGATGAGTGTTATGTCTTTAGGTCATTGTATCTTTATATCACTGCCAGTGTGTATCAAGCCAAATAAAACATGACTAAATAAAACAGAAACTTTTGGTTGGAAAATCACTGGTTAGTGTCAGTGTTGACCGCTTATCAACCTCTCAGAGTTCAGTGAGTAAGAATGATTCAGGGCAGGTCTATTACTGGAATTTAACACGAAATAAGGCAATTTTTTTACAAACGGAAGTACTATATCATATAATTGAAGAGCTCTAATTGGTTGTTTGCATCATACCATATAAGATGTGAGTTTTATCTAGTTAAAGGTGCACTCTTACTGTTGCCTGGTGGTCATTTTAATAAGAATAGGTGCAATTAGGAAGATCACCTTAAGGTGAAAAAGTTCCCCTACACAGATTTCTTGCATATTTAAGCAAACCTTCAAATTGACAAAGAAAATTTTCAACCACAAAATCATACTAAAATTTTGCTACATTGCTAATATTATGTTAATTGTTGCTTGTCAAAAAAGTACTTCACAACATCCAGTCGTTTCAATACAAATCCTTACTCGTAAGATGGATTTATTAATAGTTACACTAATAAATGTGAAATTTCACTAACATTATCACCACTCTTACATTTGTGCTTGTTTTACAACATGTAAAATTTCACAGATCTTAGTCTTAACTTAGTCCTGTATTTAGAATTCAGAAACTTGACAATTGCAACAATGACTGTAAAGTGAACTGCAGCTTGCAACAACTTATAAGTCATGCTTGCACTTTCAAAAATAACATACAAGAAACTAAGAACTTAACAAACTAAGCGCAATTGCCTAAAGTGCAAGTTGCAAAAGCATTTAAGTCACCCAAAAACAAGGTTTGTGCTCCAGCACGTGTCTAAAAGGGTTGTGCTAATCCTCTTAATGAGTTGCGTATGTGTTTTGAGCATAAATTGCAGTATTGTACTTTTACTAAAGTACAAAAAAAGAAAAAGGGTTATATCCAAAAACGCTTCCTATTCCTATGCCCCATATGATGATGCATACATCTTCAAACTTCAAACCCGACAGGTGGAGAAATCTAAACTAGTTTTTATTAAAACAAAAATACATATTACATAATACTAATAATAATAATAATAACAGCATACAAATGCAAATTATCATTAATAAGCTGACTACAACATAGACAGATTTCAAAGCCCCTCGAGGTGAGGAAGGTCCAACCGTAAAACGTGATAAAATACAAAAGACAATGGAATCAAGAGGTTTTCTTTTAAGATTTATTTTTGACCTTTTTTAGATAGGACAGTAATCAGACAGGAAGAGAGGTGAGAGAGAGAGAAGGGGGTAGGGTTGAGAAATTACATGCTAACTACTAGGCTATTGCGCTGACGAATCAAGATGTGAAAATAAACCAAAAACTCACCTTTTAAAGTCCACCTACAACTTCACTAAGCACTAGTCACAGCACAGTAAACAAGTACTGCCCTTGAAACATTTCCGTTGTGTTCCGTACTATTATTAAGTGTTGTGAGAAAATGCAGCGCGTTTTTTATGTTTATGCCTTGTAAGGATGAAGATCTTTTCTTAATTTGCTGCTCTTTTTTATAGTTGTTTTCTTAAATTGCAACACGTTTACCTTTCTCAGCC